CAGTAGTTAGTGGAACGTGGAACCCTGTTGGTAAGTTATCAACAGGGTAATACCTGAAAACCATCCTGAAGGGAAGATCAAGAGCTAGATGGTGGTATCAGGTCCAGCAAGATATGAGGCTCTTGGGAATTAAAGAAGAAGATGCTGAGAACAGAGACAGATGGGGCGCTGTATTGCTGAGGCCAAGTACCAACTGGGGTACAAATTGTCATGGCTGTAAGTAGTAGTATGTATATTTCTACCTGCCAATAAGTAGTGTTAAAACAATAAGTTATTTAAAAGTAAAACTTAAATATAAATCTGAAACTATTATTAATTACTCATGACCAGTGATTCCTGATAGGAAGTGTTCTATCTAATAATATATGTCCCTATTGGCACTAGTACCTGTAAAATCACTCAGCTATATTAGTGAAAACATAATTTCCTTGTGATATTTAATGTTGTTTAACTTTGCTATGTTTTGATGTAAAGAATAAAATTTAATTAGTTTAATTTAGTTTTGTAGCACTTTAATACATTTATTTTGAGGAGACATAAGACCATATCTTCTGACTTATATCTCGTACCAGTCTACCATGCGGTATTCCACCATTTTAAGTGATGTTATTGAACAGCCTGAAAAGTCTGACGTGCCAACATTCTACAGCCAATATATCCATTAATGTGCCATATTCTTCATTAAAATTCCAAGATCATCATCATTCCTATAACACCCCAGCAATATGTTCATACATATGTCCTTATTGTATGATGGGAGGAATAAAAAGCACACAGTTTCTTTATCCTGGGTGTTAAAGTGATCTACACTCTCCCTCTGAACTTCTGACACCTGGCATTGAAAAAGGCTGCTATAATTAATTAACATCCAAGTTTAAGTGCGCTGTTTAATTGAAAACCCAGCACTTTAAATTCAACAAGTGATAGGATAGGAAACACCTAGCTACTATCTGCCAAAAGTAAAAATAGTACGTTTAAAAAAGTGCACAGTCTAGTGGGACTCCAGTCGGGAACTATTGGCATATAGGTAAATTTCATTGGGCACATGGGCTCAATGCACTAACTAGCAACCAACCCCAATATGACCAGGTGTATTTCCTGCCAGTGGCTCGCTTTCTTAGTGAAGTATAGTATGGTGTTATACACTGACAAGATAATATTCCTTATAACACAAAACTAATGGAAAAGTACAGGGATGGAGTGTTCCAAGGCGGATATTTACAGTATCATTGCATTTCTCGTTTGGAGGAAAACAAATTCATATGCCTGGGGGCATATTCTTTATAAGAAACCCATTTGGTCTGTTAAGCGATTTTTAAAACGGTTTTAATATTTTTTTAATAAAAAATTAATTTAAAACAAATGTATAAATAAATATACAAATGTATCTTCTTTCAACATTATAAGGTTATATATAGTAGGAAGCTCCTGGATATTCCATAGGACATCTCAAGAATAGGATAGTTTTACAAAGAAGGTAACACCGTGATAGTTGAATCGATAACAACAGATAGTACAATCTATAAAAAAAATCTGTGAATTATTGCATAAACTAAAATGAAAATGATGTTTTTGTTAATTGTATATAGAAACAGTTTGTAATTTTGTGAAACATTGTAAAATTGTGGAGTTTGTCCACCTGGTCCACTATTCGGTCTAATCCATGGCAGGATAAATGAAAAGTCCTGAAGATAAAAATTTGGGTCCCAAGGACATTCTATGGTCATCCTACATGAGATCATATGTGACATCCCTATAGGATGTCCGGTAGATCTTTATTTTTATAACCCATTACAACTACAAGTTTAGAGATGTCCCGTGGGTATCCCATATGGGATGTCATCGAAATGAATCGGTACCACATAAGCCCTTTTGAATGCATCAGGAAAGATACCAGTGTCCATTGAGGCATTAAATATGTCACAGATTGGTGGAGCCAGTAAACACCTGTTGTGTTTCAATACCCTTGGAGGTATGCCATCAGGACCCCAACCTTTAGTGTCATCGAGCTTTTCAAGTTTCTCAAAGATTTCACGTGGGCTAAACCTTAAAGTTTGGGAGTCTCCAAGGTGACCAAAGGTTGACATATCAAATGATTCCGTTGGCTTTGTAACAACTGAAGAAAAGAAATTCTTACAGAGGTTGCACATGTCATCAGCTTCAGTTGCGATGGAACTATTGTAGACAAGACGGGATGGTATTGTGGAAGACTTTTTTAGAGTGAATACGTGACTCCAGAAATAACGGAGATTCCCAGGGATACCGTGCTCAATTGTTCTTAAGTACTTCTGATGTTCGCTGAATGCCAGACTCTTGCACGAAGCCGTAGCATTTGCAAAGGATTGGTAGTTGTAAGCTACCATTAGTCTAATTTGGGATATTTAGTGGAGGAACCTATTTTCCAATCATAGTCCAATACATCCGCCACGCCACATTAAAATGTAAATAGTGTAAATATGCTATTGACAACTCTGAAGAGTTTGACTCAAATACATCAGGGTGTTTATAAAAAAGAATTCCGGGATTTTAAACGGTTTTGTCGTTGCTCGGGGACTATTCAATATAGGTCTAAAATTAAATGATTTAGACGTCAAATTGAAGGGGAAATAAAAATTCTTCTCATACTTCGATACAATTCGGAATAATTTAATAAAATTGATAATATTCATCATCAATCTTAAATGAGTGTAAAACTGGCTAATTCTGTACACTCTTAGGGTGATCGCGGGTTTATCTGATGTCCTAACTGAATCTTTTAGGCACAAAGACTCTATCTTTTAAAGTGCTGATTTGGGTATGTTCAACTGAAGACTTCGTCGGGCAATCGATTTTTTTGGGACTTCTGATGCAGAATTGTCGGATTTCTTCGACTATGTCATAGCTTGTTTTTAGCCAGTCAGGTTAATGTCTTTTCAAAACACTACGGTGTCGCAAAACTCATTTAACCAGCGTCAAATTTGTTTATCATCAAGTAGATTTTAATTTAGCAATCTCTGTGATCCACAGATTACACGTTGTGTCTTCTGTTGCGCCGTAAACATTGCACTGGCGTCAGGCGCGTTAAGTCGCAATAGCGGCCTACCACAGCACACCTGCTTTGCGCATTCCAAGGTCAAAGTTCCATTGGCCCAACGTTGGGAAATGGTCGGCCACGGTTGGGAAATAGTTGGCAGAAATTTTACCGATTTGCCAACGTTGGCCCAACGGAAACTGGTATTCGTTGGCCCTACAAAGGAAAGAATCGTTGGGTTTAAGTATAAAACATTCTAAAACGAATTTAAACAAATTGATTTATTTAAAAGTACATAAATGTTAAGGCAGCAGAATATAAGACAAATATTGTAAAAGTTTGGATCTATAATAAATGTAGTCAGATGATGTTGTGATACTAGATACAGTGGGGAACACCTGCTTAACATATAATAATAATTCAATTTTTTTTTTACAATATTCTTTAACTTATTTAAGCATAAGTTTTTAATAGTTTATAGAGAAAAGATTAATTAATTATATAACAATCAATTATAACAGTAGCCTACTAATCTAATGGTAATTAAATAATCTATATTCAAATACTAGTATCCTCTCCAACTACCAGAAAAACAATTCAACTACTTGAGGCCTAAACAGATTAACAGAATCATATTATACTGTAGCATCAAAAATATTTTAAGTATTAATTGTGACCATTGCACCTGTCGGCTACTCTTTCACCACTTTAAAACACTCGTAATCATCAAGTACAGATAGCTCAGAGGTAAGACGTGAGGCTCACATGTCGAAGATACCGGGTTCGAGACCCGTCTCGGCCGAATATAATTTTATCTCGTTTTATTTTCAAAATAATATTTTATGAACTATTTAATCAATTTACTCAAACTCATAATTATGCTTTTCATACAAAATCTTTATTATTTTGTGTTTTTTATGTTTATGCCCAATGGGATGGTTGGCCCTTCCGCAAAAATTGGTTGGTTGGCCAACCGTAAGACTGAGTGCCAAAACATACCGTTGGCCAACGATCGACAGAAACGTTGGGCCAACGATTTGCCAACGATTTTTGCTACTTGGGCCCTCCCTTGCTACACGGGAAACAAAACTTTGTTATTTTAGCTTCAATTTGATGTATTAAACGTTTAGTTACATAGAATAGTATCAAAGCAATTACCATTTAAAATCCCAGCATTCTTTTAAAAACACCATAATAAACACCATTTAAAAACACATTCTACTTGTTTATGCATGTTTTATTTTGTAATGAGTCGGATCATTCTATACAATCTGTCTAGTCTCTTGAATGTATTGTTCCATGTATATTTGCTATTCTTGAACTTATTTTTGCAGACCATCTTGTTTTGATATGTATTGTTTAATGGTATTTGCCGTAGAAATGAATAAATGAATGAAATGAAATGAACACCTGTAATATTTTTTATTGACAAGTCGTAAGAGTATTGACACAATCTATCCAACAGTATCAAGGATAAAGTACTGTATTTCAAGTAAGTAAGTAAGTATTTTACACTCTATATCTTGGGAGCCATTTAATCAACGGCTATATGCCAGAGTTAATAATACCACAGACAAGGGAAACACTTTTGTTTCCTTAGTCAATGATAATACTAATACACAGTCAATACTTAGGCCGGTATTACACTATCATAGTTCTATGACATATTATATTATCAAATATATGATAATATGTTCTCTCAAGGAGAACATATTATCATAGTTCAAAACCATTATAATAGTTGGTACATTACACTGTAATAATTTTCATCAAAGACATATGATAATAGATATATGTCATAGAACTATGATAGTGTAATACGGGCCTTAGTACTTGTATCCTCTATGGGAAGTGTAAACTAGTTTCAATTCTGGAGTTCCAAGTTACATAGTTGACTTGACAGTTGTTGACACCAAATGTCAGGAATTGGAACATAAACCGAATTGAATTTAATTCGCAAAAAGGTTATCCCCTTACTTGCGCCTGCCATCGTTTTTCCTTACTTTAGCCTTTACCCACCCTTTACCTCTTCTCAAGGCTGAGTATTGGATATTGGTATTGGAGTATTAGTAGTACTTATTAGTTCTAGTTGTGGAATGTAGTAAGTAGGCTCCAATGTATATTTTCAACTTCGTCCCCATAACAACATTCAGTACCGATTTGTCACTGACAGATATAATCCTATCCTTTTCACTGTTGCTGTCAACAGTGTCAACTTCAGTGCCCTACCTACCTATTCATCTTTCTCGTTATCAGCGTCAATGCCGTCAATAAGATGTTTGCTGATAATACTATGACTAATTATTTTCAAATTCTTACTCAATTCCCCAAGTGTCGGTGTTACTCTATCATCACGTATCACGATTCTGTAGTAAGTGTTTCTTCAAGTGTCAAGGCGAAGGCAGTGGGATTCTTAGACTCAGCCTAGCCTACTGTATGTTTGATCTTAATTTTACTATGATACAAGTAGGCCTACTCAGTTTTCATAATAAAGGTACTTAAATGTATAATCAAAAGTTGAAATGGCACCTATTTTATACACTCTTAGTGGATTTGCGACATTCTTCTTTATATTCTGGTGTGGGAAGTGGTTAGTGCATCTAGCTGCAATAATCTATGGGTAAGTCATAGGCTAATAAATCAAACTAGGCCTAGGCCAGTGTACGGTTATTTAGACTTATTACATCATAGACGAACTAGGCCTAAGTTATTACATACATAACTTAGGCCTGCCTATGTGTTCAATCTTTTTAACAGACAAAATTATTTACTTCTCAGTATTAAGGCACTAAGTTACACATTTGATAAAATCTATACCTGAGGATGTAGGCTACTGGTAAGCCTCAATTCAGTAAGCCAAGCGATATAGGCTAGAGGGTTACATCAGGTGCAGTTTTTTTAACTGGGCTAGACACACCTTACTATCGAATGAAAAATATTGGGGTACAGTTTCTTAACTAATATCGATTGAAACTATCGATTCGATCAGTAAACCTTCATGCAATTTTTTAACCATCAGCAAGTTTGGTTGGTTAGGTTAGGTAAGATAGTTTAATTTGATAATAAATATATTTTAAAATATCGTTTATTAATCAATATTTTCAATTCGATAGTTTCAATCGATATTAGCATAGCCCAGTTAAGAAACTGTGCCCAAATATTGTATTTTTAACAGTTAGTCAATGAATATATAGGCTTAACCTATCAATTATAACATGAAACTTTTATAACCTAACCTAACAAAACTTGCCGTAGGTAGTCAATTATTTTAATTGATGTAAATATAATTGATAATCAACAGACTAAGTTACAGTATTTAATATTTGACAATTTAATATTGGGCATTCGGCATCTACACGTCATGTAAATCATGACTTTAAATGTCACCCGTCTTCCTTGTTTAAATTCATAGTAGGCCTATGTATATTTGAATGGCAATATAGCCTATTCAATAATATTCATTTGGGGTGAAAAATAATGGTACTATAACTTATTTGGATTCAGGGTGTAAAAAAAATATAGGTACCTACTAACTATAACTTGTCTATTGTACTTATATAAAGTTAGATATCAAAATTAAAAATTTGTTTGGAGGTCACCTGTATCGATTAGGAATAATTACTGCAGGCCTTCTATAGTCTAAACAAAATCTATTGAGATTATAGTGGCGTGTTGGTGGCTCATTCGATAACACACGGACTTTGGGTCCAAGGCAACGATGTCGTGGGTTCGGATCTAGTTATCTACAACTACCGGTACTTATTATCAGTGTAGTTCAGCCTCGTTTACAAGTTACTGTAGGTACTGGAACACCCCTTGCTTTGCTAGATACTTTTACACTCACAGGTCTCTGTGGCCCACATGGACGGGCAAATGCAAGATAAAAGAGGCTACCAACCTCTCTGAAAAAAAGTCTTAGCCTAACTTACTTTGTGCCAAATTCCCTTTAGCCTGAGTAGGTACAGCGCAAATGAGGTAGTCTAGCATCTTGCTGCAAACTTAAGTCATTTTTGAACTCTTATTTCTAAAGACAAAAAATGTTGTATCTTTAAGATATGATATTATGGGTCATAACAGTAGAGTAGAAGTGACACCAAGTCAGAGTTGCAACTACTGTACAACCATATCAGTCTTGATCCTGGCCATTGACTCTTGATCATTAATTATTATGAATACCTTATAACTTAGCATAATATTTTTAATGTTTTTAGTTTCAAAGCCTCTTTTATTTTCAAAGAAGGTTTCAGAGAAGCGTTTAGCTGAAAAGCAGTACGAACCCATTATCAAGCTTAAATTTGTTCTTCTTCATAGGCTATTGATTTTGCATTCCAACATGCTAAATATAATAACTTATGTTGTTATCCTAGTGGTTAACTTATTTAATATAAATGTTGTATCTAGTTTAATTGTTTATTGATATTTATCTTTTAAAGATTTTGCAACATTAAGCTACAGTAAGCTTGGAATATTACTGTAGGCTAATTAAAAACAACATGATTGGATGTTCAATTTAGCAGAAAGCTCTGGTTTTTCTGTGCCCGAATCTAATGGTGTTTCACAAGTAGTAGGTACCTATGATAGGTAATGTAATTTTCTTTGATAATTCCAGTACCCGATTAATTTTTTAAAAACTGAAGATAACAAAATTACAAACTTAGATTTTTTTAAATAAAAACTATCGATTCATATTCATATTAGGCCTATATTGCATTTTCTTTTTTTTGTTGACAGGAAATACACGCTTTATCGTAAAGTAAACCTTCAACCAACAGAAACCCCACTGCCAGGAGTATCGATAATCAAACCCTTAATGGGCGTTGACCCCAATTTGTATGGAAACCTCGAAACATTTTTCACAATGAATTATCCCTTGGTAAGTATATAATTAATTGTTAAATGATTGATTTTGCTCTATATAGTGAACTGAAATGTTGGATATTTTAGTTTTGAAGTTCTTACCTCAGCATATCTGAGTGTGATGCACTGGAAGTCTTAGCCTATATGACCTCATTGAAAAGAACCCAACTGCCCTAACTTCTTTAGACCCATGTGGATTATTAAAAATTGGTTTTCACTTAGGACTATCATAAAATGAGAATGTATATATTGTTGTCAGGCCAATAATGGGTAAGTCTAAGATATACTAAAATGAAAATTGGCTGAGTTGGGCATGTTGCCCTTAGGTGTAATTGCAGAGGAGCCTAATGTTCACTACACTTAAAATAATTGCTTAACACGTTCGCGGCGGCATGGGAGCAAACGCTCCCATACGGAACCCTAATGCCATCCTGGTGGGTGCGATCGCTCCCAAGCTGCAATGCAATACGAAATGATTTATTTTTAAGCCAGGATTAGAGCTAGAAACTTGAAACCTCGCACAGCACTGCTCAATAGTATACTGTATTTTGTTGTGTTGGTTGGTAGTAAATATTCCCGTAAATCCCCGTCTGGCAATCTCAAAATTCTACTTTTGTCCCGTCTTTTTCCCTCCATTTAGCAATACAATTCCAATGGGACCGGCTACGTTACAAGCAGTGCTGCTATCTGTTGGTGTTTAGCGAACTACGTCGACTCTCGTTGTAAAGCAGGACATCCTCGCACGTTATTTGCTATTTGTCAGCACGAAATTGTTAAGCCAATCACACGCGGCAATCGGGTTTGTTTGATGCTGAGGGCTGCGCCGGACCTGGGATACGCCCGCCATTTGACGTGCCGCCGCGAACGTGTTAATATGGCCAAATAAACACAAAGTTTGTACAAATTGCATGACTAGCTAAAGTTCATAAATGACCTCAAAGTTGGTTCAAAAATATATACAATGAGGTACTTTCCTTGGGGGGGGGGGGGGGGTATATATTCACAAATGCTCCCAAGATAGCTCAGGCTACAATGGCTGGGTTTAACCCTTTGCGGTCGAATGGCGAGTATAGGTTGCCGCCCGCCATTTCGCCGACTGCTTGAAAATGACATAAGGTACTATAAGGAAAAAAAATAAATTAAAAAAGTTAATTTAGGTTTGGTTTGGTCCGAATTTGTGAGGGCTGGCTACACTTGTACGGACACATGTGAGCATGGGGCACAAGTACAGCAATACAGAAGGTGTTAAGTCCTAGTGTAGGCATGTATGAACAGTTTTCTTCTTGTTTGAGCTTTAGTTGAGACAAAGAATTCCTCCTTGTTCTTACATCTCTGAATATTTTAAGGCTTGAACAAACTATAAGCATTAATAAAAACTGGAGATATCAGAAAAATAATCTTAAAAAATGTTCAAAGTATGAAACGTCCATAATAAATAGGGTAGAGCTTTCGTTTAAATATATCTTTAAAATGAACAAAGATTTTTAAATTCGGATTTCGGCATTCAAATCAGCGTGAAAATCTAGTTTATAATGATGTGTCACAACACTATCATTACATTAAAAAAAAATTAATGTAAACCATAAAACGTTTTCTTGCAATTTTTTTAAGGTCATATCCTATATTTCTCTGAAATATAGAAGAAAATACGAAGATAGAAGAATTCATATATATAATTCTTAGTATAAGAATTAAAGTTCAAGTACAGAAACCAAACATCTAGTAGCTGGTCTCTACAACTTGCACCAAGCTAAAACTAAATGCCAGTTTTACTATTGATAAATTATTGAACTAATTAGTGGAAGCGTGATTAATGGAATACCTTCCAAAAAATAAATAAATACATCATATAGCTATGCTATTCAAGCTAACGATGCCAGAATAACAGACTGTTAAAATACTCAACTAATTATTGTAAAATATTCATAGTGGGCTACTATCTAAAAAAAAAATTTTTTGCAAATTCAACATTGAAAGAGCTACCAATGGCAATACTTGTGAAGCCTCATGATTAAAAAAAGTAGGTAGGGCTACCTACCGTATCTAATCTAGGGAATATTAAACCGCCACGAGTTTTATGACCGTCCTGAGATATTTGAACCGCCACGATCATTAGAGCGGAATTAAGGGTCAGTTTCGCAGGGCTGTAAAACACTTGACCCGCCACACGGGGTCTGCCAGGTAGCGAGGGAACATTTCAAAATATTTATCCCTCCAGTTTTCCACTTTAAGTAACCCAATAAGTATGGAGGACATGGTTTCTATCTATTTTCCTAAATAAATTTAAATCCTGTATATTTTATTTTTAGCCATGTGTATTAAATAAACTAGGCCTAACCTAATAAGGTTTGTATCCGTGAAATAATATCACTCGTCAATACCAATGCATCTTATATTTGTTGGAAAATAACTTAAATAAAAAAATCATAGTGGTGAAATAACACTTTTGAATAGATACATTTTTGTGAATACTGAATATAAACCTTTTACTGTTAATTAGAATATAAGCTATGCTATTGTTTAAATTTTCTATATTTTAGTCATTCAGTTAAGCAGCTTACTAACCAAATGCTTTGCAGTTAAAGTAAACAATGTTTCTTAATTTCAGTATGAAATCGTTTTCTGCATAGAAGATGAAAATGATCCAGCTATAATGCTTGTTAAAAAACTTATAGAAAAATACCCTTTAGTGGATGCTAGTATATTCATTGGTAAGTATATGGATAATAATGGGCCATATCATTCGTAGAACATTTCTATTAACTTAATTAAATAACTTAATATTTATATGCAGTGTAATACATTTAAAGGTTTATCTGAAAAAAAGAATAGCCCCTTAGTAAGGGATGGATGGTTTTAAGAGCCCATCCAGGGATTAAAAAAGAACGTAGTTGTGTGAGCCTACATCAACTACAATGATTTTGATAAAAAATCTGGCTACTAATTTAACATGGCCTGATAAAGTGAAAGTATGGTTGTATTGTATCAAAATGTTCAAGTTTAAGTTTTGGGTGGCAATATCCATTATGTGTCCCTCTGAAACCAAAAAGTGGTTTTTGAATAAAAACCTAACAGGAAAATTGTACTTTCACAAAAACGCCTTGGAAATTTGGATTAAAATGTAGTATGTTTTGATCCAATTAATTCTAAAAAAACTTATACAGACCAATGCTGTAAAAACTAAAAAATAATCATAAAATATCTTAGTTGCTCCCCCTGCTTACCCATTAATAAGGGTTGTTGATAAGGTTATGGGAAAAAGTTTGCTGATACCATTTATTAATATTAGTTAGTATTAGAATTGTATGAACACTGTTCATTGTGCCATGCACATGTAAATATATTAAGATGTATGAATATTGAATATGTAATTTCATTCAGGTGGAGCAGTTGTTGGTGTGAACCCAAAAATCAACAACATGCAGCCTGGGTACTTGGCATCCAAGTACCCTTTGGTGCTCATTTCTGACAGTGGGATCAGAAGTAAGTACATGAAATGCTTAACATCCATCTTATAGGGTGGAAAAAGTATCATCCAAAAATAGTGTGAATTCTAAGACTTTTAAACAGGTTTTCACATGATTTTCTCCTTCTTGATTTGTTTAAGATTCTAATAATTTTTTTCTGGAAAATTAGTAGGGATTTGACTTCTGTTGACCTGGAGCCACAGTATTCCATACCTCAAGATGGATTCAATGTATCCATAGTAAACTGTGATAGCCTACATGTATCCTCGGGTATACAGTTTATCAGGTGAAAGAATGCAAAAGAAGTAGATCTTAGTTTCCATTTCATCTTATCTATGTGAATCTTCCAATTAATATGAGTATCAAGTAATACACCCAAAAATTTATGAAATTCTACTAAATTTGGAATTTTATCAAGAATTACACTGTTTTTTAAAGAAAATTTTATTATATGAGTTAAAATTATGAGTTAAAGGAATGCCACATTGACTTGTTATTCCGGTAGCAGAGTAACCAACCAAATACTGAATTAGCTAAATCAGACTATTTCATAGATTAAAAAATACAGTTCGTTAATCTTTGATTTAGTTCATTGGTTTTAATAACATATGGCATGGAGGCTCTCAGGGTGCATTCACCAAACATCAGGATATTTTTGTATACTTTGACGGTTGTTAAAAACTCCAAATTTACGGAATACCTGTGTTTCCAACTAATTTGTTCAATCAAAAGTGTTGCTCCATTTTCAATCCTTTTATCCCGCCCCCCAGATCCCTCCACAAACCCTTTGGTATGTTTGTTAAACTTATCAAAATCCAAATTATTTGATGTTTGAATTTTTTTCGGTTTGAACCGTTCAAGCACTGTAATAAGTATTTTCAGTTATCTGTTTACCAGGCTTATCATGCTGTCCAGAGGATCAAGCCTTACTTGTATAGCCAATGCTTATTGTTTTATTATTATTATTATTTGTTTCAGTGAAAGAAGACACATTGTTGGACATGGTCCAGTTGATGAGTGATGATGTTGGATTGGTTCATCAATTACCCTTCACCTGTGACAGGGAAGGATTTGCAGCAACAGTAGAAAAGGTAACCTAACAATCCTCCCTATTTCTGTCCGTTATCATATTGATTTGTGCAAATGGTGATCTAAAGATGGTTAACCACCATTATGGCATTGGTAAGCCATTGATCAGCATAAAAAGTTATCACTGAGCATCTGTGTACTCTGTTCTGTGCATGTAACTGTGTTGGGTAACTTTGTTGTTAATGTGGTAACTTTATTCTTGAAATTTTGCTATAGGAAAATCCAATAGACGTTGCGTCCTATTTCAGTGACGTAAATTGGTTCCAAATTAATATTATAGAAACTTCTTGTACAAAAATTGCATTTATATTCTAATTTTGAGTTAATTTAATTGAAAAACAAATTTATTATCAGTACCGGTATTTAAAATTTTTGTAGAATGAAAACACAATTTGATGGATTGAAAAATATTTCCTACGACTCCTTTTAATCTTTGAAAAATGACTGTTTAGCTCATATTTTCTTTTAACAATCTCCGAATTATAGTCCAGTAAATCTGTCAGAAAATATGGGGTTGCTGTGCAAAAGGTCGGGTAGTTCTGATTTTTGGATATGTTGTTATAGCTCGGCCGCTTAGAAAACGACCTGCGCGCTAATGCTAAACCAATGCTGGAGGAGGTCGTTTTCTAAGTGGCCGAACTATAGTATTGGGCCCATAACATAAAATCCAAGTTATCCACCTCGTGATACTGCCGCTCGCCGCGGGGCGCGCCACTTGTTATCGAAATATAAAAAATATGGCAATTCCTATTGTTTTTCACTCAATCTCGTGAACCGTTGATTTTACCGAAAATTGTATAATATTACATTAAAGAAGAATACATTTTTGACAGTTTAAGCCCAACAGCAAGTATGTAGCGTAAATAATAGTCTAAATACAGACCATCAAAATAAATAAATTTTCCAAAAACGTATAAAAATTGTGGTTTTTCAATATTTCCACAATATAGTAGTTGGAAGCAAACACCGTATTGATTTAGAGAGTATGCCAGTTTATTTGCTATTAATAGAAAATAAATGAAAGTATGAATAAAAATACCCCCACCTCAGCAAACCTGCAGACTAAGCGAATTTCCATTTGCTCGATTTGATTTTCACAAACCTAGTTAAACGACATTAGGTTTAACAGGTACCTAGATTTGCTGCTACAGGGAGGGTTATATAGTATATAAAATAATAATAGTATGATAAGAAACAAATAAATGTAACCAGTTTTATAAAAATGTGTCTATAAATAAGGAAAAAACGATAATTAAAAATCTTTGCTATTGGAATAACTTGAAATTTTTTAATTTACATTTTTTAATTTTCTCCGTAACCAATAACTGTAAAAAACATTTTCATGTTCTAAATTATTTGTTTTTAAGCTCTACAAAATGGTTTAGAGATAATAATTCAGAATAATATTTTAAGTTAGTTTATAAAATAAAATTGTATGTTTTGAGGGTCAAAAATACGAAAAACCCGTTCTTAACAAAAGACCCTATAAAGCAACCGTTCCCATGGCCTGATCATGCTTCGCGAACTCGTTTTAATAAATGTAGGTTTCTGGTTTACATGCCAAAAAAAGACCTTCAAAATATACCTTTAACGGCAAAACTATTCTTCCCAAAGCTGTCAAATGTTTATACATAAACATTTAAGCTAAGCTTTGGGAACAATACTTTCACATAAAAACAAAATAAAACAGTTTAACATAGTTAACAGTTTATTGAGGTTGAAAGATCAGGCAAATAAGATCTTCCAATTACAATCACTCTACAGATCTTCCATGCAGCGGGTAATTTTTCCACGCCAAATGCGCCCATCTATACAGGACATGCTGATTATGAATTTAAATACAGGATTGATATTGAAGAACACAAACAATTCATAAAGATCGGAAATTTCACTACAAGACGTACAGACAAGTTCTAGTGTGGAATTTGGTCTGATTAGGCCATCGAACAGGCCCTCATAAAGACAATGAAAAGCTCTGGTGGGTTGACTCGAGGACGAGGCAGACAAAATGTTGTGACTTGATGGGCGCTTGGGATGATCCGTCCTCATCAAATCTGTAGGAAGTTGAGAAATATTATAAAAAATGACGTCGGTTGAACATTAACAGTTAGCAACATGTTGACGTGCGCCATTCTCGCATTGCTTGAGACAACGAAATTGATGAAAGATTAAATAGTGGTTTCATCAACACACACCATTCAATATAAATGATATGCTGATTATTAGCAAATTTCCCTTATAGGGAATACGCCATTACAGTAGGTCTCATGGTAAGACCTAGACCCGGGACCGATTTACTTTTTCATTTTGGTATTCCTAGAGGCCAAAAATACTGTTGGTTCTAATTGTTCTAACATATATAAATATATATGTATATATATATATATGTATATAGGCTTATACCTGGTGTCCGAAAAAGACTCCATAGTTTTAAAATTACCTCACGATACTATTGTTCAAATGGATGAGTAATGATCATTTCGTGCTGTGTAGAGTATACTTCAAAGTTTTAGTTTTGTATCATAGTTTTGGTAATAAATTATAATACAAATAATAAAATATTAATGATAAAAATTAGAATAGCTTGCATGTCTGCAGGGCTACAAATGGTTCGCATTTTGAGGTTTGATAGTGTTCAAATAACTTTTATTTTATTACCTTTCATTTAATGTATCAGCATAGCCTTCTCTATGGTATCAGTCGTTGATCAGTAGTTTGTATCTAGTACAATAAATAAATACATTTTCAAACTAGGTAGGGGAGTTTTTTAGAGACCCTGTAAAAAAAAAAAAAAAAAAAACTATATTTACTAAACTGTATCCAAAAAAGTTATTATCGTCCGTTAGCACGATGATTCCCAAAAATCATCCGATTTAGTGGAATTTGGTACAAACATTACTTTTATTTGTGAATCAAAAGATGGACTATTTATCATTTACTTTGTATTGTATGTGACTTAGCCTATTGCTTTTGCCTAATAGCCTAAATAAATCATTGAATCATATAAACGTACATTTATTTATTAAAACGAGTTCGCGAAGCATGATCGGCATGATAAGGCCATAGGAACGGTTGCCTTATAGGTATTTCGCCGGTAAGAATATTTTTTATTATTATTAACCCTTAATTATTAATTTTACAATTGTATCATTAAAGAATTTTGTAGAGCTACTAAAAACAAATAATTTAGTACATTAAAATGTCGTTTTACTGTGATTGGTTACGGAGAAAATTAAAAAATGTAAATTAATAAACCTCAAGTTATTCCAATAGCGAAGATTTTTAATTATTGTTTTATCCTTATTCATAGACACATTTTTATAAAATTTGGTAAATTTATTTGTTTCTTATCATACAATTATTATTTTATATACTATATAACCCTCCCTGTAGCAGCAAACCTAGGTACCAGTTAAACCTAATGTTATTTAAATAGGTTTGCGAAAATCAAATCAAGCAAATGGAAATTCACTTAGTCTGCAGGTTTGCTGAGGTGGGGGTATTTTTATTCATACTTTCATTTATTTTCTATTAATAGCAAATAAACTGGCATACTCTCTAAATCAATACGGTGTTTGCTTCAAACAACTATATTGTGGAAATATAGAAAAAACCACAATTTTTATACGTTTTTGGAAAATTTATTTATTTTGATGGTCTGTATTTAGACTATTATTTACGCTACATACTTGCTGTTGGGCTTAAACTGTCACAAATTTATTCTTCTTTAATGTAATATTATACAATTTTCGGTAAAATCAACGGTTCACGAGATTGAGTGAAAAACAATAGGAATTGCCATATTTTTTATATTTCGATAACAAGTGGCGCGCCCCACGGCGAGCGGCAGTATCTCGAGGTGGATAACTCGGATTTTATGTTATGGGCCCAATACTAATAACATATCCAAAAATCAGAACTACCCGACCTTTTGCATACCAAAATGTCTTATTTTACTGGACTATTAACTTTGCAGTAGGCTGCTCTTGGAAAATACATCAAAGAAGGATGCTAAAACAATCTCTTCATGACTTTGTTAACTACTATTGCAGTTCCAACAGAAAACATTTTCATGGCAAAAGAGAATCTGAATTGAAGTGAGTATTAGTAACTAGATGTTATTGCTGTTGTAGATATATTTCGGAACCATTGTGGCTCGCATTTACCTGGTAGCTGATCTTCTCAGGATCAACTGTCACACAGGCATGTCTGCACTCATGCGCAAGTGTCTTATTAACGAGGTTGGTGGGATCCAAGCTTTCAGCTGCTACCTTGCAGAAGATTTCTTTTTTGCCAAGTCTTTCTCCGATAGAGGCTGGAGGATACGAGTGGCCAGTCTTCCAGCCCTTCAGAATTCTGGGTTGTGTGAAATTACCAGTTTCCAAGCTCGGTTACAGAGGTATGTAAATAAAGTTGAATGTTTTCAAATTAAGATACTCATTTACTTTTAATTTTATTATAATGCATTTTAATAATTTTGTTGAAATAATACTTTCTTAATGACAGAAGTTTATATTCTGTGAAATTATGTATGTAAATATTTCTTAACTTATTACTGCATATATATATATATATATATTGTAAGGTACTTTCTCTACTTTTACCTTATTCCTGAATTCACACTTTTTCGGCTCAAAATCACACTTCACTAGAGGGCTCAAAACGCCTCCAGTGTAGGGTGCCGTGGCTCAACATGCTTCTCTGCTGCACTGGGATAAAAAAAAAGTGACATAAAAAGTCGGTTTTGGTTTATCGGTTATTGTGTAATATTTCATAGTTTATTATTATGGTAATGAAGCAATAAAAAACCATTAGCAGTCCTAAACCCACTACTATTTTGACAATAATAATTTTGATGATGTCAACAAGTACTTCCAAGAACTCGGTGGGTAAAAATGAAGTGAGTTTTATGAGTTCGGATTAGCGCGTTTTTCTAAGCTCATAAAAATTTTTACTACTTAGATTGTTAAAACCTTTTATTCCTTTAGTTCCATTATTTATTACTAGGGTAATAATGGTGAAAACCAATTCTCATTTTATCATGGTAATGATAGTTTTATGATGGTTATTAAATTTTACTTCTGATGTCTTATACAGTATTACTGTAGTGAATATTCAATTTAGGCTGGCCATTGCCTACTGCCATACAATAGTTTATGGTTTCATATGTAAATCATCTTAAGTTATATTTAAAACTTAATATATGTTTTTTTTACCATTTTATTGTCAATTGATAAAACCACCAGCATTGTTGTTTGCTTGTTTTAACCTTACACAGGCCTACTTGGTCTCAAATAATTTAATTTAATTTTCTGTACCTTTGTCTTATAATTTTGATTGTTTACTTTTAAATATTTTTGTTTTTTTAACCCTTTTGCGGTAGAGGTGTGCGGATATCCGAAATTTCGGGTCGGAACTGAACCGAGCCCAAATTCGATATCCAACACTATCTGTTAAATATCCGACATTTCCGGATAGACTGTATACAATGACGTTTGAAACAGAGATCAAAATATTCATAAGGTTACTTAAATCATCATTAGTTTCCCACGACGTAATAATTTCAACACCACTCGTTCCCATTCCGATTAAAAAAAAAAAACCTAACCGAAACCGAACCGATAGATCAGCAACCGACCCATTACTAATTTAATACAACATCATGCTAAATATTACAAATCCTCATGTGCACATGGAATCGTTTAGGTACATATAATATTACAATGTTGTTACTAGCAGAGTCTATTCACTGCTGATAATAATGTACAAATACGATAAATAATCATGTGGAATATAAGCTTTCAACAATGGCAAAGCATTTTTTTATTTAATAACTTGATGAACAAAGAAATACACATACAACAAAGAACAATAAAAATATTAATGATTTTAACGAGGAAGAGTGATTACATTTCAATAATTTATAAACATTTTACGAATTTCTTAATTTTTGTCTTAACACTAATTACATTATAGGAACTATTTAAAAGGTCAATAATCGTCTTGGGAAATTGATTAAAAAATTGAACTGATTCCTTGACATGTCACGTTCAAAACATAGAACTACTGAATGTGTATATTTTTTAGGCTCTTGTACATCTTTGGTAGTTCTTAGTATCATATAAAATGTCGGTTTCTTATTACAAAATTAACAACGAAGAAAATAATACAATTGTGAAACAGTCAAAATATCTAGTTCTTTGAACATGTAAGTTATACTTTCATACTCTTTATAGATATGTAATGTAAGGCAACTCTTTGTGGCATATATATTGGCATATAAGTTGTGTAGTGTCTTGTTCAATGTAGTGTGCAGCAGACCTAACACAATACATTACATAATAATTGATACAATTTATCATAAGTGATTTAGGGACTAGTGGATACTTGTTTGTTTGTTTATTCAAGTACAAAAATTAAGTTTACACATTAATTTCCAACGAGCTGCAAAAGCCTCACAAGCCTCATATTTTGTAACGGATGATCCTTTTGAGACGCGGTTTCCGGCAATGAACTCCATTTAACCAGCCCTTTAAAATGATGTGCATATCAACCTATGCTTACATTAAAGATTATGTACCTACTCCTCATGGGTCAACCCCTGGTGGAGGTGAAAAAATGGCAATGCTTGCAAAAAGTAGTGTTCATACATATAAGTTGATGTGAAATATTTGAATTTTATAACAGATTTAGTTAAAAAGATACTAAGCCGTTTCCAGACTTTTTTGTCATCCTGTATTTATATATACTGTATATATATATATGAATTTGAACAGATGGTGTTTTTTGCCTCTATGGACCTTTAAAACGAAAAAGTAAATCGGTCCCGGGTCCAGGTCTTACCATGAGTACTAAGGTAATAGCTTATTCCCTATATGGGAAATTTGCTAAAAGAATTATTAAATACCTACCTTTTAAAATTTTAATGAACCAGAAATACTATACCAATGCCCACGCTACCAACATGTTCGTTTCAGGTGGGCCAAACTAAGGGTAGCAATGCTGCCTCACACTATTCTCCTAGAACCATTGTCTGAATGCTTTGTACTCGGAGCTTGCGCAGCATGGTCGGCTAACTACCTCTTTGGATGGGAGCCTCTAGTTTTCTTCCTCGTTCACGTTTTGTTCTGGTTTTTCTTAGACTGGATTCTCCTATCAGTTGTGCAGGTGAGACCATCTACTAATATTGATTTTAAAAAGCCTGTAATTTTACAAACAAGTTTATCGAAACAGAATTTCTATAAGCTGTAATACTTCAGGGCTGTCAGCGATAAGGAATTCCTTGAAAATCGGGAATTATGAATGAATCTTTACCGGAAAATGGTATTATTCGGGTGTTTTCCGTGAATATCAATAAATATGATTATGTACGTTTATTTTTGAGGAATTTTATAGTTATAACAATTTTGAGCCAATTTATCCGAAAATTTTAATAGTGAATGTACATTTATGGAAGATTTGGATTGGTGATGCAGCAGAATACGCAAGATACGCTGCCAGCTCTATAATAACAACGTGTAGTGTGTAGCAGCAGTGTCGATCCACGCATAGCTGGAACAAAGCCAAACTCGGTCTCAAAACTCAAGGTCATGGCTTGAATTATGTCCTAGTCGAATATTAATTGTATTATAAATAGGGATAGGCCGATAACAGAATTTCTCGACTCTATACCAGTTCTAAAATATTACTCACAATTCTCAATACCGATTCCATATAAAAACTCATATTTTTTATTTTAAGGAAGTTGCCATGGTCAATGTTTTGTTGTTCGTATCATCCATGTTTAAATTTTGAATCAGACAACCAACGTAGTTCAAGCCAGCTCAAAATTATCGTGCGCTCTCAGTTAAACGGAATCAGGGAACCGCTCTTGCTTTTTACAAAACGAAATAGTCATAGATTGAAAACATCCAAATGGAGGTCCAAAAATCGAGACTCTGTAAAATGTTGTTATGTTGGTACCACTAGAAGAATCAACAAGCTCATTGGCTATTGGCAGTCCCACAATCTCCTAGTTCCAAAGTACAAATCCCCTACCCCTAGTACATATTTGAACGTCTCTCAATTCTCGCTTTCTGTGCTACCTTCGGTTTATAGATTCTGCTGACAACCCTGTACTTGCTTAATTTATTGACAGTTATGTGGACGGTCCGATGAAACCATCATGTTTCATGTGTTAAATGTTTGGTTTTACAGTGTTCAAAAACATTGTCTGTTATGTTGATAAGTTTAAATGTTTTAATTACAACATGGCCAGCTTAGATTATTTAACTTATTGTTTAAAACTATACATTATTGTTTTTGAAACGGAAACAGGTTATTGAACATTTTTTAATTTTCTGGCTGTAACATTGGTGATGTTTGTTCCAGAATGGGTCGCTGCCATTCAGCAAGTTTGACTTTGTGATAGGGTGGTTGTTTAGAGGGATCAGTGGTCCGTATTTGTTCCTGTACGCAGTGTGGGATCCAACCATCAGATGGCGATCGCGCACGTATCGTCTGCGCTGGGGAGGCATTGCAGAGGAGTGTCATCCCAAGGTGAAAATGTGAGATTGGTTGGATACTCGCAAATACATGCCTCTCACTATTTACGCTTAAATCGCTCGCTTGATGTTTTGCGAGGAACTAATTCAACGTTTTGTATAATCTTATATTACACCCGAGTAGTACAGTCCTTTTATATTTGTCGTTAGGTTTAATAAACCAAACATATCAACTGGGGAGTTTGAAGAGTGAACAAACAGTTATGGTAACAATATTGGGTACTTATGTTACTTATCATACTGCCTACTATTATTATATTATATTTGTTTATACCTATTATTATAAGTTTGTAAACATAGTTTTAAATTGTGTAATAAGGTTTGCTTTTTAGAATTGCGAGGTAAGATATTTTACAAGATTTCAAACCACCTAGATTCAGTTTATTGTCTGATTTTGTTAACTAAAGATATCTTGTTGAAAGAACAAACATTACAAAAAAGGTCTAACCTCTACAATTAATTATTGAAAAGCCTGTGCTATGCAATACTGCCCAAATTTTAAAAGAACAATTTTTGTTTTTCATCCATTTCGATATTGACCGTCTTGCAATAATTTGATATCATTGATTCATTAAGTACATCACCACAAACTAACTTAAAATTGTTTATAATATCATTGGATTGAACTTATAAAAATTAGCATGGATGTGATTTTTAAACTAAGTTATCTCCTCTGTAAAGTAATTCTCTGTTGTACCTTTTCAGGTTTAAAATAATACCAAAATGAGGAAATACGATTTTATAATTGTTTTAAAATGGCATATACTTCCTTGGTTCCTTTGTTTTGAGGAATGTTACAAAACATAATGCAACCAATATTTTTTATACTATTTCTTATTCTTAGACTCTATAAAATATTCATCTACAATATAACTAGCTCCTTTCGATAGCAACAACCTATTCATAGCTTATGAAAATAACTTCATAGCAAACAAATTTGAAGCTTAGACATAAAATTAAATTACCTTTATGATCAAATTTACTGTAAAAAGTCGATATTACTAAAAGATCCATATTAAAGATTAATTATATTTATTAAATAGGTTATTGAGCATATAAATCCTTCTTTATTGTGGAGAACTTAGGACCTCATGGCCCTTTCTTACAGTTAACCTCTAAAAACTAATAATAACAACAAAACCAAATCAGTTAATGTACTACTTATAGCAAATATTCATTATTTTGTCTTCCAAATTAGAAGAATTAAAACAATAACGTATCGTACTGAAACTTCCAGCAGAGATTGTAGTAAGTTTTGCAAGAGAATTGCTTTTCTTTAACATGAAAGACAAAGAACTTAATGTGAATTAAAATGCTTACTCTTGACTCGAAGTACAAGAAAGTATGCCGTTTCATGCATATGTTATTGTTTTAAACTTATTTAATATAATTTGTCTTCCTGCTCAACACGAAAGTCTTCTTACTTTTACTTTAGTAAATATCTGTAGTATTTGAAATGAACAAAATTGAGAAAGGTAAAATTGAATATAGCTGTTTTCTTGTATCGTCATAAAGTAATAAGGTTTGTTGTTGATTATGATGGCTCTAGTAGGCTATTGTGTTTAAGTTTTTTAGTTAACAAGAATATTTGTTGTGATCTATTCATAGAATAGTGATACTTTTTGTTTACAATATTGAATTTTAACATGTTTCCTTTGAACTCTTTTTTTCCGTAAAACCTTATATATATATTTTCAGGGTTATAACCGGTGTAGATTTAGAAATACATAAATGTTACTCCTTCTAATCATTGTTAAACTTCCAAATTCATTCCATATTTTTTTATTTAAAGCTGCCAAAATTTTAACAGGTGATTATTATACATTTATTATATACATTAGCCATCTTCTCAACTATTTACAGACATTTTACTGATATTATTGTGCTGAAACCTTAATGATTGTTTAATTTTTAATATATTTCAAGATTAAACAATAAACATGAACAAATTTATAAAAATATTTTATGAATGTTGGGCAAAGAGTTGTGTGTTCAATTTTATTTTTTCGACAAAATTGTAGGAAATATATTGTGGGATTGATTTGGTATTATAATAAACTACATTTATCGTGATTCAGCTACGCTAGCAATATATTTATCATTTATTTTATGATTCTCCCTTGACTTGTGTCTTCCCAGTTGTGTTGTAAGTATTTACTTAAATAATGTTTCTGAGCCTAATGCTGTACTTTTTGTCTAATTATGAAGGATTCGTCTTATAGGATAGTCTTAAAAAGGAAAAAAAAATATTAGAACGATCTAGCTCAGATTGAGTTTATTCATTTGATTATTTTCATAGGAATAATTGAATTTTTTTATGTTGATTGATTTATACAAAAATCTCAAAACTAGTTTTATTTATATAGTTATTGAATTTTTCAGTCATTATGTCTATGCTAATCACCTAAATTATAATAATGTATTCTAAACTAGGCAATGTAAACCTCTTATCTGACAACTTATTCCAAAGAATCCTGCAGGTTTTTACATTTTTGTGATAAAAATATTGGTTATGTTGGTTCTCTGACACAGTCAGATTTTAATTTCCAGTCCAACAGGTTTTACCAAGAAGTTGACCCTCATTAGCGATGCGAGCCAGCATAGGTATGTTCCTTGGCCCTACTACTATCTGTGATTTTGGTGCTGTGTCACTAGCACTAGATTCTAGGCCTGGGGTAGTAGGGCCAAGGAACATACTTCTGTACCAGACTGTATATTAAACTGCGGCCTTGTGTCAGAGTTCCTAACCCTCGCTCGGGTCAACCCCTTGGACTGGAAATTTAAATCTGACTGTGTCAGAGAACCAATGTGGCCAAAATATTACACCTTTCCAATCAATGAAGAGTGGTTGTAAAACTTAAACCTTATTACTTTATTTACTTTTGGTTTTTGTCAATTTGTCTTAAAAATATCTGGAACCTAGGACAGTAGGGGGGAAATAAAAACAATTGTAAACATTCGTAATATGGGTCCAACGGTAATAATGTATTTCTTAACAAAACTATGTTTTTAATTTCTAAGTAATTGTTTCCTTGAAAGCAAAATAAGATGAAATAAATGTTACCATATGATACTGGTTGTTTTGAAAACTTGTTATTGTGTTAAATCACTTTTCTTATAAGTTTTAAGACTGCTTAAAAACATGAAATGTATAGAGGTGAATACGTAGTGCCTGAAAACTGAGTTCGGGCTCCTTTATTGAAATGTAAATGTCCAGTTGATCGTAAATGAAATTAGGAGAAATCCATAGTTGCTAAATTCAAACCAAAATAATTGACTTGTGGGATGCCAATCTTAGCTAGGCAAGAATAAATGTGGTTGGTAAAATTATAAGTTTGATTAATTCTTAATTATAGAGGAAGCTAACACAGGGTTTTATCTACGATATTTCTGTTACATTTGACCCTCTTCTAAATTGGTGGATATTTTTTATATTACAGTAAAACACCTTGATTTCGCTTTAGTCAGCTGTATCCTGGAGTTGAACGAGATTATTTTTTTACTTTTGAGTGTGTTCTTTACTTAGTACAAAAATAGTAAAAGTATTGTTAGAGTTGTTTGAGGTTGTGACGTACATTGTATCATAAGTTGTGTTTTGCCATTGAGGAGTAAGTAGGCCGAAGAAAAATTTTTGTTCGGTAATTACTGGGTCATGACATTGTTCCAGATTGAATTAATTCCTTATACATACCATAAAGCATTGTAGATATCAGCTGTTTTTTGAGGCTGCATTGCCAGTATTTAAATCTTTTTATTTTTCAGTCACCATCTTTGGATTAATCTGTGATAAAGGATATCAAATACTTTAGCGATTTAGCGTTTGTGAGTGACATTAGTATATTGCATTTTTTGAAATGGAGAAGAAAAAAATCCACTTTATGGAAAAGTGCTTGCTTTGTTAAAATTCACTTTAATATTCAGAGATGAAAAATTGTTTAGTAGGACAAACCAGCTTGTGATTTCTAGTTTTGTGGTCGGAAACTTAATTGTACATTTCTTACAATGATAACACAACATTAAATTATTTAGGTCTATAATGCTTTATTACGGTTGCTGTTAGTTTATAAACATTAGATTTTATATCGCTCCTACTAATGTACTTATTCTTGGAACATATCTGAAAAGTCAACATTAAAACGATATTGCTGCTTGTGTTTTTAAAAGTAGTCTGGTAGATGAAATACGTGACGACAACATAAAAAAACTTACACATGCTTTACTCGATACTAGATTTATAAGTATTCATGTACTAGACAACTTAATATTTATCGTTAAATGAATTAATTATTTTGCAAGATTTATTTGTATATATTAAGAAAGTGGTAGATTTTTTATTATGTAACGTATAAAAATCCTAAAATGAGAATATAATGGTACAAAAGAAATTCTAATGAACATTTTTTTGGCTGTATATGCATTGTTATTTTCTATGTTTATGTGTTAGCAAACATCATACTTACACCAGTTTAAACAAAACTATGATAAATATGCCAGTTTGTGCTGACATTTTGGCATCAATTGCTACAGTTGCTTTGTTTGAAACACTTGTAGCCTGAAGCACGTTTTCTAGCAATGACTAAGTTAGAATAATACATGTCTGGTGGTTTAGTTTGATTTCAATATAGACTTTAATCCACTTATGTGATCCAAAATTCTTTTGTATGCAGGGATTTCTTTTGGAATCCAAATAAATGCAGTAGAATACCTCACTGCCTTATAGAACATAGTTAGGTTTTCCCCCAGATTCAAATGGATCAACTCAGAGCTAGCCTTAGGTGCTGTGGGCCCTTTACTTGTAAAAAGGTAGTATCCCATCCCAACAATACGAAAAAATATATATATTCTATGTAAAATAAACAAATGTATAATAATCATCCTCAATCACCAACTGTTGCTCATATGATTTTCTTTTTTTCTTCAATAATCATAAAGTATTTACAAAAATTTACATAACAGTCTTGGTATTGTTTTTTTTTTCTTATGCAAAGGGCTTTAAATTATAAGCTAGAAATGTCCTTGCATAACAGTAAATTTTTTGATAACTTCATAATTGGAAGTAATTCTTAATTAGTAAAATTTAAGACTAGTTTCCAACCTTGAATATCTCGGCAACATCTATGATCATCTTCTGCCATTGTAGCAACAACATTGATAATTTTCTGCGACTGCAGCAACATACGCCAGCATCTCTCATGATCACAGCAACAATGGTGATGTTTTTTACAATTGCCATGACTTCCGGAAGAAGGGGTTAAATCGTTTTACTTGACACAATGACGCAAAAAGAGGAAAAACAGCAATTATTATTGGATGTTATTGGCAATAATTTATAATTAAAATCTCTTCAGTCCCATTCACAGTTATTACTTTTTATAATTATTTTCAGTTTTTTCTGTAAGCTCAGGGCCCTGTGCAGCAACACCCTTCCACATGTGTCTAAGGGTGGCTCTGGATCAACTTAGATAGGTTGATTCAATGTTAATATTCACATCACAAGTTGTATACCCCTCAATTTAAACTTGAATCATCTAAACCCCTAAATCAAGCTTTCAAGCTTTTTGCTTTCAGTAAAATCCTTGAAAAGTAAGGTTTATAAATAATAATAAAATTAGCCTTTTTTTTAACAAAATCAGTTTTCAAATGCTAAAACTATTGTCTCATTTTAGCTTCTTTATAGACACATTTTTGATATGTATAATAATAATGAAAATTATATTTCATCTTGTTGATTGATTTTTATTTTAATACCCGTCATATTCCTAGTCTATTGTGACCTGCTGTTTGCAGAAATTATTACCTATGATTAAGCAAATTATGATCATGACGGCTGGTCGCTTGTCTAGTGGCTAGAACGTTGAACTCTGGTTCAAAACCTGCATAACACCAATCACTTTTTGTGAACAGTAAGAATGAAGTTTCCGGAGTTTAACACGTCCAAGCGTTCGCCAATGACGTCGAAGCCCCAGCGCGCCACCGAATCAGCGAACGCAATTGAAATTCAAAAATTTCAGTCTGACGAAACACAAAAGAGCAGTGGTGATTTGCTGCGTTACCCCGAGAGTGGACGTAGTTCACTGAAACATCCAAAGGTAGCAGCACTGCCTAGATCTGTAGCCAGTGTCTTTGTAATGTGGCTCGAAGAGAGAAAAATCCCCGAAACCGGGACGAAAGCATTGCCAGACAGAATTTTACGGGAAACTTTTGTACCAAACTACACCAAAATAAAGTTTGCATTCTAAGCTACGACTTTTAACTTTCCCCCGCTCATACTGAACTAATGTAGTGGGAATGGCACTACATCAATAGATGAAGCCCGCACTCAATGTGTTAATAAAGAAATTGGGCTCGGAAATCAATTTATTATGCCTGCAAAGGTATTTTTCAATGAAAATGCTTCGTTTCAAACATGACAGTTGTAGTTTCTGTTAATTCAATCAAAAGTCTTATTTCATCATTGTACATATTTTAAATGGAAGACACAATTAATTGTGTATTTCAGTGTCAAAAAGCTAATTTTTTATTTAAGATGAAGATAAGTGTTGATTCCGGGCCTTAGGAAATCTTGCATGTTTTGGGAGTTGGGTTATAAAAGCACACAAGGCAAGTTCCACATTCTAAAACTTTAATGTGTATATGATAATAATTATTTTACATGTATGGCAATATAGTTTTAGAGGTAGTTAAATACAATACTAGTGTCAAAATAGAACAGTACCATCAAGGAAATAAAACAGGCTCACTCATGTATGACTTTAAAAGTTGCTATGCATTGACAAGTATCAAAATTAAGCTAGGTAATGTGACATCACATCACAACCTCTAACACTAACCACTTTGTACATATTTATATAACACTACAACAATGTTAGTATTATCTGTATGTGTACCTCTTCAAGCAAGAAAACCAGATTTTAATGCTATCAGATTACAATTTACAAAATGTTATGTTTTGTTGTTTTGTTTTGTTACAATGTGTGACTGATACTTGAAAACTTTGCTTTGGAAACACATGTTTACATAACTTTTAGTGTTACACACCTGGTTATCCATAATTGTTACTACAGTAGAATTCCAATTATCCGAATCAATTGGGACCGGACCCCATCTGGATGATTGGATTTTTACCGAAATTCAGAGTCTTAAAGAAATAGGCCGAGCTTTTACTATTGCAATCACAGAACGCGTCTGAGACGATTTTGCGATAGGAAAATTTATGCTTTCGCCGCGATTGCAATGTAGGATTATTATTTTCCGTGACCGTGGGAGACGATGGTGGTGTGAACAGAACCGTTGTATATATTTATAAGTTCTCCACGATCGCGAAAAACTATGACGATGTTTCCGTGACCGCAGGAGACGATGATGGTATCAACAAAATCGTGAGATAGGTTTTGGATTTTGACGCGATCACGGCTCCTGCCTCCTTTAATAACAATTCTTATTATGTACTGTGGTTTTAATTTTTTTGTATGCAATTCGGATAATCGGTGATTCGGATAGTTAGAGTTCTACTGTAAAAGCAATTTATTCTACTTATATTAAGTTAATTTCAGTTTAAATATTTACTTTTCCAATTAAACCCTTAATACACACAACACAAGACAACATTCAAGACATACATGTATTTAAAATAACTCTCAAGGTTAATCCATTTGACAGAGAACAAAAGTTTTGTTTTGTCACCAAACTATATTCCAGTTTTTTTAAGAATGTTTTCTTCCCAAGCAAGCGTTACTGTTTACATCCAAAGTTATTTTTGATTTAATTAATGAAATGTTTATGGGGGCTTATATTTACACATGTAAACCCTAGTTTTGTCAGTAAAACATGTTTGAGAAAAGGGAATGTTTACCAAACCAGTAGTGACGGTACATTGACAAGTACAGTAGACTCTCTCTCATTCACACTGAGAGCAAAGTCTAGTCGAACTTGAAAATATCAGAATCAACACAGGTTGATAAAAATGAAAGTATACGTTTCAAAACCAGTGTGCAAATTAGTTAAAACAAAAAAGAAATACACCAACAACTAATTAGAGCGATAGAAGGTTAAGTTTTGACTTGTTAGGGAACAAATACATGGGAGAGCTAGTCATACTCAAGGGGACATCCAATAAGAGGGGGTCTGCTATATTAGTGTTTTTTGTTTTTATTATTTTTTATTTAATACATGCATTGAGGGGCTAAAATAATTATTTTCATCCCTAAGGGAAAAATAAAAATAAATTGGGAGTTGAGGACATATTTTTCTGGCTTATACAGGGTGTTTCCAAATTGTCAGGAAATATTTTGTGTTCCTTGGGCTAAGACAAACATAAAATGTCAAATAAGTATGGGTCTAAAATGCCTGGATTTCTGTCAGTTTGCTTGTTGTTTTTTAAAACTATTTTATATCTCAGGCCTTTTTAAGATAGTAATTTCACAATTGGTATAAATGTGCTGTTTAGAAGGTAAAAAGAGCTTAAAAAATTTTGCTCCAATAACTCAAGCCATTTTAAATCTTTAAAGCCAAATTTAATGAGGCGGTATAAATATCCAGGAGGCATTTTTACTCTACTACTAAGAAATTGTGTTAAATTTATCAAGTTTTGCAATAATTCATTATGAAGTGATGACAATTGTAATTCACTAATTTGAACTAGATAAACAACTAGTCGTAACCGATATAATATTGAGTTAAACAGACCAATCTGACAACTTTGGGAATTATCTTTTGCTATTCTTATGGAGAATAAATAAACTGTTATTGTTTGCTTGTTTATGGAAATATTTTAATCAAATTTTGGCAGTTTTGTTTATTTAATTAGCTATCAACCTTTCAATAAAAAACACACCTCATAGCACCACCCCGTAGCAGCAAACCTAAGTACTCCCTTAGTACCTACCTTAAAATCAATGTTATTTAAATAAAAAATAAATCTGACAATTTTAGGGGAATATTCTAATGGATATCTTACCAGAAATTTGCATTTTTAACAGACTATTCTAATTACATTTGAATTAGTTAAAAAATGAATTATTTTTTAAGTCAGGCTTATCTTTTGAAAATTACTGACATCTGCACAGTGAAATACTGTCCTGTGTAGTAGGACATCCATACATAAAATATTTACAATCACTTAACCTAGCAAGGAAATGGAAACAATACAGTAAACATCTGTCCATCTATTTGTTCACGAATCGGTGATGTTAGAAAGCAAGGAGTAACCCCTTGGTAAAAATTGTTAAAACTGAAATTTGACTCATAAAAAGATAATGTTGTGTCCCAGCCGAAACAAATCTATACATCTAAAGACATAAACATTGTGGAAAACATATTAAATTGAGGGGTTTGTGCATTTTATTTGAACACATTCAAACTCAATCTCACTCAATATTATTTTAGATATACTTAACAATTGTGTCGATGAATTAAAATCATTCAGAAAAATAAAAATATGTGATAAAATATTACTTCTCAGATTACACTTTAAAGATCATATCACATGGAATTCATGAATGCGAGTTTGATGAAAGGTCGTCAATTTGGTCCTAAGAAAAGTCAGCAACTTTTTTATGGTTAGAAACTAGACCCAGCGGTCCTTGATCATTGGGCTTTTAATAAAAATGGTCCTGGCTTATAAAACAGCTGATCTTAGTCAATAACCAAGGTACACAAGGCATCCCACATCATTCTCTACTCCACTCATCCTACACTTGAGTTTGGGTAAAAGATCTCAATTGGTAATAATAATAACAATACATTTGCACTTTTCCCCACAATCCACAGTGTTAACCACAAGTAAAATATCTCCTTTGCCAAAATTAAACCTTTCCTTACAAGGTCCCCTTTCTTTTCACATCACATATAAGCGTGAAGTTTTAAATTACAAGTTTCTATCAATAACATAAATATTCTTCCAAACAACAACAAAGAATGCAAGATATAAATACATGCAACATTTTAAAACTTCTATACACATTTAAAAATATAAAAAAATATATACTTTACACAAATTATAAATTATAAATGTTAACATATTCCATCCACTTTTGGTAAGTATTCTGAAAAATTTTAAATTATATACACTTTTGGTCGATATAAATATGTGTTGATGCTTGGGACAGAGATGATTCTTCTAACTCTTTGTCCGCCTTGGACTCGGTGGAGTAACTAAAACAAATTTGGCTCCATAACTACCATTACAGTTACTAAGAAAAACAGACTGAGTTGTTTGGGCCATTTGGGGGAAATGGAAGGTGAGTTTATGGATGTTCCTTAGAGGGGAAAATTAGTGTACATCAGATTACGATTATGGTTAGTATAACTCTTGCTATCGATAATGTTTCAAAAAGATTTTTTGAGATGATGTAGGACAAAGAATGACAAAAAACTGGCTAGTATATGGCTTTTGAACATTGGGTAACATCTCTTCTTAAAGTCTCATGGAATCTTTTCATGATGTAGAAGTCTCTTTTGGCTGATGACTTCATACCATCAACTCAAAAGTATTCTACTTACAAAGTTGCTCGCTATATATTATTACTAAGGAGATAAAAAAGTGCAGAATCTCCATGATGAATTAGTGCAACAGCTGTTTCGGTAGGTTGGGGTTGCCACTTTTGTCCAGCCACGACCTTGTATTAGAGGAGACTAAAGGTATCCACCCACAATTTGATGGTGTTCGGGATGGGAT